CTCTAATTAGTTATTACAGTGACTCAAAAGAATGTCTGGAGATTGTAAAGACCTCACCAGATCTACTCCCATAATTTGCATTTTAAGATAACAGGATTAGCCAGAAGTTTTTTCCAGAGACTGCCCTCAAGCAGGGTACATTATTCTTATATAATCCTAAGGAATGTAGAGGGAAGTTTGTCCTTTCTTCCTCCTTGAGAATTCCAGACCCCTCTTTCCTTGGGGACCCCTAGACTTCTTATCAAACTGCCTAGGAAATGACTCTCTCACCCCCATGGCCCTCTGTCTTCTCACCCTGCTTCATTTTCCCTCAGAGCACTTCTTCCCTTGGGTCACAGTCTTTCACTCCCTCTTAGGTGATGAAGAGCTGCAGGAGAGTGAGAGCTGTGCTTGTGTGCTGCTGTATCCCCAGGACTAGGAGAGGGTCCAGCACTCTCACTGTGCAAAACATGTTTCACAGTGTTTGTTAAAATAATGGCAGGAGTATTCAGTTTCCCTGGAGTTGATAAATGAGAGTATTTTTAGTTCTATTTGCTGTACATATGCTTGTGAATATTACATAGCACTAAATAAATAAGGTAAAGGTTTAAAATGTTTGATAAGCCAGAATCAAGTAGCTTTTGGCTGGAGGCACCTGGCTGTTCTTTCTCTAAGTGAACTTCAGGTTTACTGAAGACATGAGCTGAAGTTTGGACACAAGGTGTGACCACAGTCAGACCCCTAGGCCAAATAGGATTCATATCCGGTAACTGCTCTTGGCAAAGAGGCACCAAGTACTGAGCTGCAGTGTCAGCTGACCACCATGGAGCCCTTCCTCACCATGGCTCCTGCTGCCTGGGCGCCACTGCTCTGAAGGTCACCCCACGAGGGCTCATGTGGCTGCAGATGTGTCTCAGACGTTCCTGGGCAGGAAGGTGAACACCACAAGGCCCAGGTTGCACAGGCTGGCTCTTTGTCTGTGGCAGCAGGACTTCCGTGTGGTGAGACTCCTGCCCATGCATCCCATGCCTCCTGTCTTTCAGAAGACACTGCCCCCAGTGCCCTCTGCAGCCCTGTGATGAGAGGAGTCAGGGCTTGGAGGGCCGAGTAACACAAGTGGCTGCAATCCAGCCCAGTGCCCTCCCGAGGGTGCCACAGGATCATCTGAGATGTTCCTGAATTATGGGGACATTTGATGACATCAGGGCAAAGATGTGATCAGAGTCAATGCAATATAGCACATGTAGCCCTTTCCTAATGCAAGTTGTTTTTTAAATGTATTTTTAATTAGAGAATAATTACTTTACAGTATTCCATTGGCTTCTGCCATACAAGATGACTCGGCTGTAAGCATACATATGTCTCCTTCCTCTTGAACCTGCCCCCATGCCCCACCCAATTCCACTCCTGTAAGTTGTCATAGAGTACTACATTGAACCCCTTGTTCCAAGTTGTCTTTCAATAAAATTTTAATTTGGAATAATTGTAGATTTATAGAAAAATTGAAAATATTTGTCAAAACTGACAAGCAGCTTTGGAGCATTACTTCCAACTTAACCTCACATATTATTAGGATTTCACCCGGTTGTCCATTAATGTGTCTTCGGTTTCAGAATTCAATCCAAAACCTACACACACTGCATTAATTATCATGTTTCCCCAGTGTCCTCTGCTCCGTGGAGTCACTCGTTCTCTCCTGGTAATAGCTTACACGTATGGAGTTCGGTGATGAGTTTGTGGTCTCCAAAGGAGAAGATTTGACTCCAGGACCAAAGACAGCCTCAGTCACTCAAAGAATTGTGCAACAAAGATTTTTCTTTAAAGTGACAGGACAGAGAAAGCTTCAGACATGGATATCAGAAGGGGGTAGAAAGAATACCTACCCTCACTAGTTTAAGCATGGCATTATGTACTTCTCAACTGGCTGCTGAGAACAGATAAACAGAATACCTCAAGGTTGTAAGAGTTTCACCAGACCCTTTCTGAAGGTATATATCCTGAGGTAACTTCAGCACAAGATTAGCCAGAGAGAATGGGTCCTGTCAGGGAGAATGGTTCTGTACAACTTCTCTGGGTGAAATATACTGTTGCTGTGTAATCAGGGGTACAAGTCTTGAGTAACAGGTTCTCAGACAAGTTTTGTTAAGATTATAATCATTAACATAGAGGGTAAGAAGAACATTTCCATGATCATAGTTTCTGGACTGAAAGAAAGGCCAGTTCTTGGGTAAGATACATTGTTGCCCAAGGCTTAAGGAAAGCATGAGATAGAATGTTCACCTCCTCCTTAAAGGGCCCTGCACTGCCTAAGCTTTAAATCTTATGGGTTTGTCCTGGCCTTGGACATCCTAGGAGGACTGGCTAGGGATGGTAGAAGGTCCTCAAAGCTGAATTTGCCTGCTTTGAATTTGTCTGTTGTATAGCAGACAAATGTAGAGTGGAGGAGGAAACAGCAGCTTACTCCAGTATTCTTGCCTGGAGAATCCCATGGACAGAGGAGCCTCATGGGCTACAGTCCATGGGGTCACAAAGAGTGGGACACAACTGAAGCAACAGAGCTTAGCAGAGAGTGGGGTTTAGACTTTGGGTTTAGGGGAAGACACCACAGAGGTGAAGTGCTCTTCCTGTCTCCTTACATCAGAATACTCAGGACAGCTGTGTGTTTTACCACTGGGTGTATCAGCTTTGACTATTGATTAACATTGTGTTTGTCAGAGTTGCACTGCTTGCCCCTTCTCCTCCCCTCTTCTTTTCTTTGGAGATGAGTTACTAAGTCACGCTCAGGGAGGAATGAAGGGCAGTATGTTCTCCATCCTGGAGCGGATAATTTGGCTGTTTTTAGGGATGTTTCAGTAAGAAATAGTTGTCTCCAGTTTCATCCATCTCATTAGAACTGATTCAAATGAATTCTTTTTAATGGCTGAGTAATATTCCATGGTGTATATGTACCACAGCTTCCTTATCCATTATACAGAGTGAAGTAAGCCAGAAAGATAAAAACCATTACAGTATACTAACACATATATATGGAAATTAGAAAGATGGTAACGATAACCCTATATGCAAAACAGAAAAAGAGACACAGATGTATAGAACAGACTTTTGGACTCTGTGGGAGAAGGTGAGGGAGGGATGTTTCAAGAGAACAGCATCGAAACATGTATATTATCTAGGGTGAAACAGATCACCAGCCTAGGTTGGATGCATGAGACAAGTGCTCAGACCTGGTGCACTGTGAAGACCCAGAGGGATCAGGTAGAGAGGGAGGTGGGAGGGGGGATCGGGATGGGAATACATGTATATCCATGGCTGATTCATGTCAATGTATGACAAAAACCACTACAATATTGTAAAGTAATTAGCCTCCAACTAATAAAAATTAAAAAAATAAAAAAAATAAAGAAAAGCTCTGCTGCATGTTTTAAAAGCTACCAGTAAATTAAATTAAAATTTGAAATTGAATAAATATTCGTTTCATCAAAAAAAAAAAAAAGAAATAGTTGTCTCTTCACTACATTATTTGAGTTTAGTTTTTTTTAAATTGTCTAGGTCTTTGTTGCGGTGTGTGGGCCTTCTTTTTGCAGAGCACATTCTCTCTAGTTGCAGCAGGAGAGTTTTTGGTTGTCTCAGGGCAGGTGGGAGCTTAGTTTCCTGACCAGGGAGTAAACCAATTACTGCTGCATTGGAGAACATATTCTTAACCACTGGACCACCAAGGAAGTCCCCATTTATTTACTTAATCATTTGTATCGTCATGGACTCAAACATATTACTTTTTACTTTGGGTTGTCATCCAATACTCTGTAATATATTTTGCCTGTCAGACCATTTCCAGTTTGGCCATTGGGAGTGTCTCAGACATCCTTTTATTTTATTTTATTTTGGTTCTTAGTAGGACCTTTTTAAAAAAAAACTTATATATTCTAATTGGATGCTAATTACTTTACAATATTGTAGTGGTTTTTGCAATATATTGATATGAACCAGCCACGGATGTACATGTGTTTTCCATCCTGAACCCCCCTCCCACCTCCCCATCAGACTTCCTTTTAGAGTTTCAAGGTCCATTTCATCTTGTTTGTGCTAACTAACTGCTCTCCTAGCATGGAAGTTTGATTTTGACAATGAGAGAGTTTTCACATGTGGAATGCCACCTCTGATGGCCCAGTCCTCTGGGCCTTAGAACTCCTGTCCTTAGTGTCCTGTAGGGCTGTGGACCTCAGAGTCTCTAATGGAGACAAACCACACAACCTCACAGCAGCTCACTGATGTTTCTGGATAGACTGTGCCGTGCTAGTACCTCTTGAGACCAGGTTCACTGATGGAAGAAGGGGCAAGTCTGGACCACTGGGGGTCCAGAATGTTTCCAGGAACTTGTTTCCTTAAGGGTTTGAAAAAAGTTGGTGGCATGATCCGAAATTATCAGAATTATCAGTGCCAGAGAAAATTCACCTGGTGCAGGTCCTGTGAGTTCCTTCTTGGGAATGATTTGGAGCCCCTGCTTAGGGGCTGCAGATGTTAAGATATTTGAAGATGCAGGAAGGCCCAGCTCCCCATTCTTATCTCCAGGACTTCAACTTGGGGATAAAGGGAGGATTCTGGATGACCTTCTTTCTACCTGAGAGTGGGGTAGACCTGTCCTTGGCCCTCCTGATATTCTATCTTCTCAGTGTGGGAGAGTGTTGCCTCAGAACCAGGATAGATTGGGGGAAGGATGACCAGGAAAACAGGTGATGGTTGGGGCTGGGACAACAGAGCATTTGGCTCCAAATGGAGTCAGTTAGAAATGTCAGCTCCACTTGATCTTTGGCAAAGATGCTACCACAAGTTCTCTCTGAGCACTGTTCTCAGAGCAGGATGAGCTTCCAAGTAAACACCCAAGATCCAAGGGAGTCACCTATGCCAGGTTACTGGCCACAGACCTGTGGCCCTCCAGGGAGGTATGTGGGCTGGGTTTGGGGAGCTAGTGGTTTATAATGCTGAAGAAACCCTGCCCTGAGCAGAGCACTCTAGCTGCCGCCATGATGAAGGGAGCACTGCTTGTGCTGACCCTGCTGGTGACCAGAGAGCTGGCCTTCAACATGCCTGAGGGTAGGAAGGAGGTTCCAGATGGCCCTCCTGATCCTTGCCCCTTGCTGTCTCACTGCATCCTCCACAGTCCTGTCCAAACTGCTTTTAAGGACAGATCCCAAGGGCAGCTGACAGATCAGTGCCCAGGAGTCCTGCAGAAATTCCTTGAGTCTGTCAGTCTTTTTATGTAAAGGGCAGTGTGGAGCTGGAAGGATCATTAGCTGTGCAAACCCTGGGGAATAGTTTGTTGGGGGTATTGGTGATCATTGGGAGGGAGGGAGCAGGCTGATAAGGCTGGCAATAGTGGTGAAGTTCAGAGGGGCCTCCAGGCCTCACCCCTTTTGCTGCTCCCTCTGCTGGGAGGTTTTCTGTCTGGGATGTTAATCAGTTCTGGAGAGGCTGTGTCTCTGTGGGAGGTGAGTCTGAATGCTTTGGATGTGTGACTTCCTATCAAGTGGTGGAAACAGGAACCTCCTACTCTGGTTATTCTTTGACAAGATGTTTTTTGTCTTTCCTTCAGTGGAAGCCTGCCCTGTGTTTTATGGTGGAGTTGCCTCGCTGTTGCTTGGAAGCAAAACATTGTTGAACTCAACCCTCGATTTGGTTGATAGTACTGATGAGGAAAAGGCAGCCTTTGGAAAAATCCAGGATTGCTTCAATGAGGAGGGATTTGATGCCAAGCTTCACATTACACAACTCCTGGTAATTTACTCTCCTGACCTCACTCTGCCCTGCTCACTGACAAGCATAGTGTGGTATGCCACATGGGAACAGATCATGCAGTCATGGGATATGTGATGGACAGGAGCTATCAGCAAAGAAGCTCATGAACCTTTGCTCCACCCTGGCAGCACCTGTAATATGCAAAGGCAGTCCATGTGCACATCCAGCCTCTGTTGTTGCCGAATATGCCCACAGCGTGCGAATCAACTCTCATACACAGTAGGGTTGCGAGGCCAAGTGTGTTGAGGCAGGTGACTGTTTTTTTCCTCAGTGAGTGGAACTAGTATTGAAGGAGTAGAATTTTAATGTTTGGCAGGAAAGGAAGCTTTCAGCTCACACACATGTAAGAATCATGTCAGTTCTACTTTAGGAATATTGAAAAGGAGCCCCTGGCTTTAGAGTCTTTTTCCAGCAAGGGACTCCCTGTCTTTGTAAGGTTTCATCACCTCCTCTTGTTCTCACTCTGTGGACCATTGCTCTGGCTCAGAGCCCCATTTCCACTGATGTGGTCTCTGTGTCTACAAACTCGATTTTCCACTGTGGTGTTTTGGTGCCTCAGGCTCCTGAGGAGCCTTCTAGATACCTGTGACTGCTCACCTTGGCTAGCAGTGTATCTCCCGAAGAACCATCATTCCTTTATAGTTCTTGTCAAACAATACTGGAGATTTTGGATAGTCTGTCTCAACATTTTTTTCCTCAAATTTTTGATTGTTCAAAATGAGAGGCTTTCTGCAAACAGTTTCATGCACTAATAGGAGCACACAGAGCACATGGGTTTGTTTACGACTCCTGTATGCACATTCTGTCCACCCAGCACACCTGCAAGAAGAGGCTCAGTTGCAGGAGGTGTGACCCACACCCAGACACCAGCCCCTTCCTCCTCCCTTAGGACCCCCCCCCCCCACAGCGTGTGCCCTGCTGACCTTTATTATCTCCTCTTCTCCCTGGGGTGGCTGGTGACTAGTCTCCATCCTGACACCTGTGCTTGGGCTATTAGGGAGCCATCCCCCTGGTGCCTGCTGGCAGCCTCCTCTCCATTGGTGGGTCTGTGGGCAGAGTTTCTTGCTGGGGAGGGAGCTGAATCCCTGAGGGTATATCATGTGGTGATGCTGGGTAGACAGGATAGTCCTGCTGTGGGCTCAGGTGTTGTCCCTCCTCCTACTCCCTCCCAGGTTTCCATCATCTTCGACAAGGATTGCTCCAGCTATCAAGTGTCCACGGTTCTGAGTACTGTTTTTGGAGTAATTCTCAGTGCGGTCTCTTTGGTGAAATAGTCTTCGCCAGTGATGCCTGGCCTTCCCTCCATATTCTGCCCTGTTCTTCTCAACTGAAGCTGGAATCCTGACACCTGTCCCTCCTATGTGGTCTCTATCAGGCTTATTCTAATAAAATCACTGCAGCATTCTTCAGTGTGCCCAGTGTCTGTCTGCTGTGGGGAGGACATGAAGCAGGAGGTCTTGGGTGATGGTGAAAAGTGACCCATGTAGTCACTGTGGGGAGTATGGGGACCGGGATCAGACAGAATGAGGTAAACCTAGGCCCTGCCCTGACAAACTGTAGAACCATGGGCGAGTTTATTGTAACTTTCTCAAGTCATTCTGTCATCTGCTAAATAGGTGTTGTGTATGAAGATTAAGCAAAAGAAGATATAAGTAACCCTTGTCATCACCAGCCTGGAAGGATAGAGTTGTTATTTATGGCCACAGCTAGCATATCTCACTCTGGCTTTTAGCACAGTGGCAGAGCCTTTAGTCCTTTAAGTGTCCTTTCAGTTATTTATGAGTGACTACCCCTGCCCAGGACCCCCAGTAAGTGTTGGATTGCTGGGGTCCAGCCTCGGCAGGATCCAGTGGTACCCTCAGGATGAATGGCGTCAGCGAGAGAGAGAGAGAAAGAGAGAGAGAGAGAGAAAGAGAGACCAGACTGGGGGTGTGCAGCAGAGTCTGGCACTGTTTTGTTTTTTACCATAGCTTTTATACCCTAAGTTAGTACATTTCTGAGGGGAAGATAGTTTAACATTACATCAGCTTGTCCTTCACGAAACCAGGGCGTTTTCTGCATACTTCTTTGTGAGAGTCTTGTACATTATCTTCTGGCCTTGGGGCCTATTGACATTTTATGACCTAGATGAATGCAAAGCTGTTTTCCGTAATCTATCCTTCATTGAACACAAAGGTCAGTCCTTTTGCAGAAGTTATCAGTTAAATTTATCTAAAAGGTTTACCACACGAAGACTCTGCAGCTCTGGTGAGGCAGCCCCTGTTTAGCATTCCTGGTTAAAATTAACAATTCTAAACTCTTATTTTTCTAAATCTTTAACTATAACCACTTTTAGAATAATATTTTTGTGTTCTCTAATAGGGCTTCCTCACCCCCCACCCCCCTGAAGGGCTCTGTGCCCATTAGGGCCTTTTGTGTAATCAGGTTCTTTATGCTGTTTATGATTAAGGTGTTGTGAGCAGTCATGTGCATTAGTACGCATTTGCCAAGCAGGCTACAATGCCAGCAAAGGGGTCTAAATTGAAACACTCCTTTCATCCTGGATAATTTTATAGAAAACCACCATCCGGAGGACATATTAATTAAAGTTATAAGTTGATTCTGTTTGGAAAGAGATCAGGGAAGGCCTTCTACCTGTGTCACAGAAATTAGGGCGTAGTCTAATATAGCAAGCATCAGAAAGACAGATATCATCTTTAAGGTGAGTGCCGGGGCAGCTTTTCAAAATCCCTGAAGTCCTGATCTGCCTTGCTTGTCAGGTCTTCTCCTCATGACCTTGTCATGGGTGGGATCTTGTGTGCTGGCTCCTGGCATTGGACCAGGAGGAAGGGAGTGGATGGTAGAAGCTACCCCTGCAGGAATGTTGTTTCTGTGGAAACACCTCAAGCTGTGAAGTGTGAATTGCAGAATGTGCCACATGAGTGAGTGTCCTGAATGCCCCAGCCTATTTCTAAGAGCATGAAATAGGTAGCTGCATTACTAGTAGGAAATTTGTGAAGGTACAAGGAAAGCACTAGGTTTTATCCTAGGGTCTAAGCCTCTGTAGGCTACTCTTAGCATGACCCACAAAAAGAGTGGCACTACTGGTAAAATGTCTCTACCTGCTGGCCTAGCAGGTAATATTCTGGGAGCTGAAGTTTGGACTTGGGGTAAGCGGTGAGGGCCTTGAGTCCTGGCTCTTCTTTGATCTGCTACCCGAGTATAGGCCTTTAAATTAATTTTTGTCCTTTCTACAACTTGATTTTACATATACCCAGGGCTGGATGCTCTTCTAGACTTACTATTAAGTGCTCAGGTCATGCTAAAGAGGTCTAAAATGTTGTTGAAAAGTACAAAATAAAAATTGAACAGATGAAGGGCAAAATTGTATTCTTGTATGAGATGAATTGATATCCTAGAATTTCAGCTAAAGATTTTTTTTTCCACTATTCCATGTGTGAATCAAAATCCAAAGAAAATTCTCTATCATGTTTAATTGTTAGGTTACTTACCACTTCCTGCCTATTCTTATAATAGTGTAATTTTTTTTTTTACCTTAATAGATGGTGAAATGAAGTCATTTTAGTCTAGAATATCCTTGTATAATTAACTTATTCCTTCCTTACAGGATCACTGAAATTATCTCTCTAGTACCTAGTTTCTTCTCACATATTAATTAGATTTAATTATGATTTGATTTAGATTCATATTTTTATCATATATGGATGAATCTAAGCAATGCATTCTTATGTACAAAGAGCCATTTGACAGGGACATTTCTAATCAACACATCAGGCAGTACTGAAAGGAGGTCCAGCTGACTTTATAAGGCTTCTTGTGGTATGAGGAACTCAGCCTCACTTATCAACTACCTTTCATAAATGAAACCAAATTTTCATTGCTGCTAGGTTAGATGATAGTCAAAAATAAAAGATTAAAGGGTTACAGAGAAAACCAATTCAAAAATGTTGATTTTTTAAATTAATCTTTTTAAAATCTGCAAAACCATTGACACTTTTTGGTCCCAGATGGGCATAGAAGTTGGGGAACCTCTTGTTCAAGCACTCAAATATTTTGAGAAATTCCTAAAGTCCTCCACCCTTTGTGAAACCTATTATTATCTAAGGCCACATACCTAATTATTGTATTATTGTTGTTTGTTCAGTCTCTCAGTCAGGTCCAGCTCTTTGATACCCCATGAACTGCAGCGTGCCAGGCTTCCTTGTCCTTCTCTACATACCAGAGTTTGCTCAAACTCATATCCATTGAGTCAGTGATGCCATCCAACCATCTCATCCTCTGTCACTCCCTTCTCTCCTGCCCTCAATCTTTCCCAGCATTGGGGTCTTTTCCAAAATGTTGGCTCTTTGCATCATGTGCCCAAAGTACTGGAGCTTCAACTTCAGCATCAGTCCTTCCAGAGAATATTCAGAGTTGATTTCCATTAGGATTGACTGGTTTGATCTCCTTGCTGTCCAATGGAATCTCAAGAGTCTTGTCCAGCATCAATTCTTTGGTGCTCAGTCTTTTTTTTAACAGTATGACTCTCACATCTACATGACTACTGAAAAAAACATAGCTTTGACTATATGAACTTTTGTTGGCAAAGTGATGTCTTTGCTTGTCAATACACTGTGTATCCTTGTCATGGCTTTTATGTTACTAACCCAGTTACCAGTATCCTTGAACACTTACTCTTATCAGATGCTATCCTGGGTACTAAACGTAATATAATTAATCCTAACAGCAAGGTAAGGTAAGCCACTTGATAGGTTGAAAGGCCCAGGGAGTTTCAGAGAATTAAGTGGCTTATTCACACCAGGTAGAAAATAAATTATGTATTAAAGTATGTAATAAGAATTCATTTGGGGGGTCATTTCTATATTTCTGCTCATGATTGTTTCCTTCTGGAGTGACATATTGTAAGTCATCAACTATTAGATCTATATTTATTTATTTATTTATTATTTATTTTTATTTTAATTGGAGACTAATTTACT